GGGGTGGAAAGAAGGAAAGGAAAGGAAAGAAGGAAAGGAAAGAAGGAAAGAAGGAAAGGGGAGGGAAGGGGGTGGAAAGAAGGAAAGGAAAGGAAAGAAGGAAAGGAAAGAAGGAAAGAAGGAAAGGGGAGGGAAGGGGGTGGAAAGAAGGAAAGGAAAGGAAAGAAGGAAAGGGAAGGAAAGAAGGAAAGGGAAGGAAAGAAGGAAAGGGAAGGAAAGAAAGAAAGAAAGAGAAAGGAAAGAAGGAAAGGAAGTGAAGGGAAGGGGGAAAGGAGAGGAAAACCTCTGAATTTTTCATTTGGACCAAACTCCCCAGAGGAAATAAGGCAGGACAGATTCAGCCTCACAAATAATTCAACCGGGAAATAAGGAGAAATTTCCTGACCGTTGTGGGAACTTCATCCCTGGAAGCTTTCAAGAAGAGACTGGACTGCCATCTGTCAGAAATGGTGAAGGGTCTCCTGCTTGGGTGAATGGACTAGATGACCTAGGAGGTCCCTTCCTTTGATTAAAATAACCAAAGAGGGGGCTTCTGCGAAGGACCACTGCAGCAAAGCCAAGGCCTCTTCTGCTTCAAGTTAGTTCCCATCACTCACCTCAGCTGCCTTTCCACGCCCCAATTCTGTCTCCAGCGCTTGCACAGGGGGAGCAAAACGGGGGCGCAAGCAGAGCCAGCGTGCTATTTCTTCAGTACAGCCCGGCGCCGTGATGATCCTGGCTGTTGTAGCGTTGGAGCAGGTGTGTGGGAGTCTATCGATAAACAGCAGGCGCGATCCTTGGGTAGGAAAGCTGCTGGCACTGCAAAGGGGCTTTTTTTTTCCAGAAGGCTTTGGCTACGAACCCAACAGCGGCTTTTAAAATGGCATTTTTCAACCCTTATTCCAGCACGTTTCCATTGGTGCCACAGAACACGCCAAGCAATGAAACACGTCATTATGAAGTTAAAAGGGAAGGAGTTGGCTAGGATTGGTCCCTTCCTTATTCTCGGCCTCCCCTTCCCCTAAAAATCAGCTATGTAAGCTGGGAATGGGTGGAAGGGACCTTGGCAGGCAAATGCCTCCTTCCCACTCGAAGCAAAACCAGAGTTGTGAATTCAATTCTCGGCTTGTGGAACGGTGTTAAAAAGATGCCTGGGAGTTAAGTGTACGATAAGGTGTTTGTTTACTGAATGCATTTGAAAATCTTCTCCCCCCACCCCCAGCTTTCAAAAACCCAAGAATGGTAAATCTGTAGAGATTCTCCATCTTTTAGGTCATGGTTGTCCCAAAAGGGTTTTTCCTTTCAGGAAGCAACTGGACTTCCTTTTTTTTTTTTTTTTTAAATATAGTTTTTATTAAACATTATTACCTTTAAAAACAGAAAGAAAAATACAACAACATAAGAAAAGACAAAACATACATAACAATATAAAGTTTTGTATCGGCATTCATTAGTTATACATTTTTTTTAAGCGTAGAACATACAGATACAAATACAATTTTAAACATACAACCCCCCCCTCCCCCCCCGCGGTAACAGTCATTCACAGCCCAACTTTTTTCTTTCCTTCCTCATTGTTAGGTCTCTAAGCCA